AACTAATTGGAATATTGCAAAACTAAATATAGTGGCGTAAACGTCAACATTTTTCCTATCTATGTAGTATAAAGGCAGTCGAAAAATACGTCATTTACTAGCTTTGAAAAATTCCTGAAAAAAATGGTGAAAAACGCTGTTTTGAAAAGTTACTTCTGCTAAGGTCTGTAGCAAAAAAAATATTTGCTGTAATAAAGAATTTTACTTACATAATAGTTGCACCCAGGTGTCGGCTTGAAAACGTAATTGGCAGATTTTGCCTATCTCATTCCAAAAAAAAATGGCGGCCATTTCCGCACGGCGGGGCTACTCGGGCCACCCCCGGGGCTAGTCGGGACACCTCCAAAAACGCATTTACGGTAGAACCTCAGTTAGCAAAAGCTCCAATTACGAAAAAAATTGATTAAAAACAAAGAATATTGATCACATTTTCCTTGCTCAGCGAAAAAAATTTCACTTATCGAAAAATTTGTGCATCATCAGTCATCACAAAATTGTACATAGCATGTCATGTATAGAATTGTGCACCAGGCATCATAGAATGAAAAGTAATTGACCTAAACTACGATTTATTTCTCCAAAAGATACGTTGGTTGTCACTAAAATATTCCTTTCTGTTTCAGGTATGTTTTTCACGATCTTTTTTACTATAGTAAATTCACTTAACCCAATTAAAATGATGTGAGCCGTCCTGTAAGCTTACAGATATAAAAAAAATGCTATAAGGCTGCTGATACGAAGCTTGCAGTGGACAAGGTTGTTGTAAATGCTCAATGGCATGTTCATGGATACGGTAATATCAAATCAATAATACGATAATTGCACATCAATAATACGGTAATTAATGTATATGGCAATATCATATCAATAAAGGAAAAACGAGTAAAAATCACAGAAAATGTCATTTATTCTACCTCTACATCATCTACAATGAAAGAGGCGGACTTCAGAGTACTGTTAGTAATGGATGAGTACGCTCTGCATGCTTCAAGNCAGCCTTGCATCTTGAGTTTTTTTCCAAGACACCCAATTTTGTACATGAAAACATAATTCAGTCAAGTTCCTTGAACTGTTCTGACATGGGGCTGCATTGAACCAGTCTTCAGAGGCTCCCATAAATTCCAATTAAAGAAAAGAAAGAAAGAAGGGTCACCTGCCAAAGACCGCCACTGCTCTGGATGTAATGGACCATCATGATTCCTGCCTTCCGGAACGTAGCCTTCAACACTTCAAGCCGTCCGTATCTAGGCCGTGGGTCAAATGGCCACTTGTCAAAGGGTGATAAATTTTGGAACAGAACTATGCTATCTGAAACCTTACCTCAGATGCAGTGAATGTAAAATTACGTAATTTAACGATGCCTAGAAGTTAGATTCGATCCGCGGTCTGGTGGTGCATGGCACGGAATTCTAGTGGAATATTCCACCGAATTCCCGGGCAGATTCTATGCTAGGCTGGAGGAAGACAAAGCCAAATGGTTGGGAGGGGGAGGGAGCAGGGGTTCCACTCCAAGGATGTCGGAGAAGGATGAGAGTGAGGCGAGGAAGGCTGCAGTCGGTCCAGGGTTAGACCAGAGGTCCAGTGGGTTCAGCAAGGTGGGATGCAAGGGGCAGCGGCAGCTGAAGAGGTGATGAGTGGTGTGGTCCATAGTGCCGCACTCAGGGCAGAGAGGGCTATTAGCTGCACCAACCAATGAGGGCAAGGTATGAGTTGAGCCGCAATGAGTAGCCGGAACGGAGCTGGGAAAGGGCGCTTCTGGCCGCCCTGGACGAGACGGAGGGGGCAGAGGTCAGCAACACTTTGTTAGGAGCTGCTGAGGCCAGGTAAGAGGAAACAGCAGAGCTGTGCATGGTCCTGAGGAGTGAGGACGGTGGGGTAGGAGTTGGGGGGAAGTGAACCCTCCTCCAGGTCCAGGAGGTGAGAGACTGAAGGGAGGAAGTGAGTCTGAAGCGTGTGCTCCATGGAACGGGGCCCCGATGTCTGGGTGATGATAGGGTAGCTGGGATGGTGCGGTCGTAGGGCACTGGCAAGGTATTGTGAGCAGAGCAGAGAGAGGTGTTCAGCCACGGGTAGGACCTGAGCTTTGCTGTGCAGATGGGAAGTGGAGGCCATTTGAAGAGATCCCCTGGCTATGCGGAGGGCAGATTTCTGAACTTCTGAATGGTTTGCAGCTTAGAGATTGACAAAGGAGAGGCATTGGGGAGCCACGCTGGGGCAGCATAGGTGAAGAGGGACTTAATAAGGGCCTTGAAAGTCACCAAGAGGGACTTAATAAGGGCCTTGAAAGTCACCAAGAGGGTTTCCTTCTGCTGGCCCCAGCTGGTTCCGGCAAAGAGACTTGAGGATGTTGAGGTGCTGGCAGGCTCTCTGGCATATCGCAGCGATATGTGGCGAGAAGGTGAAGTAGGAGTTGAAAGTGACCCCGGGCCCGAGGAGCTTCGGGGTCCAACAAAGTGGAAGGTCAGACCCTTAAAAATGCATTTACAGTAGAACCTCAGTTATCAAAGGCTCCAGAGTCCATGGATACAGTAATATCACATTAATAATATGGTAATTAATGAATATGGTAATATCATATCACTAAAGGAAAAACAAGTAAAAATCACAGAAAATGTCATTTATTTTGCATCTACATCATCATCTACAATGAAAGAAGAGGACTTCAGAGTACTGTTAGTAATGGATGAGTACACTCTGCATGATTCAAACTTTATAAAATTGACTTTTATTGCAAGTGTCCTGGATTACTCTCTTACCAGGTGTAAATCGGGACAGTTTTATTTTGTATCTGGCACCTTACAAATAGCATATTGAATTTTTTTGAAGATGCCATTCAATAGCCCTCGCAAAGATCTATATAATGAGCCTAAACTTGTTTCTGAAATGTTTCATGGTAAGAAGTTATTAACAAAAAACTCTCAAAACCGTCCCTTTTTACCCCGTTTGATGGTAAGCATATGGAATTTTTCTGGAGATGCCATATGATAGCCATTGCAAAGAGCTTTAAAGCTTTTACATTTTATAGCTCTTTTATAGCAAAGAGCTTTTTACATTTTATAGCTCTTTGCGAGGGCTATTGAATGTCATCTTAAAAAAATTCCATTTGCTATTTGTAAGGTGCCAGACGCAATATAAAAGGCTCCTGAATTAATCGGGAAATGGGGTAAAAAGGGATACTACTTGAAATAAAACTTAATTTAAAAGTATTTTAAACAGGCAGTGTGTACTCACCTATTACCAGCAGTACTCCAAAGTCCTCCTCTTCCTTTTAGATGTAATGCAACAACGAGGAGCTCAACAAGCTTCTTTAGGTAGTGACCATTGCATTCAGTGACCTGGATCCTAGGAGTTCTGCCTAACATCCAGGCTGTTCTGCTCCCCAAGAAGATTTTATTTAAATGTAAATTTAAATTTTAGCTTAATTTAAAATTTAAGCAAAAATCTTTGTGATTAACCTATATTTATCTTAACTGTGGCCTTTGCTAACAGAGGATCTGCTGTAAATGTGTATTAGGGTTGTCCCTAATTACCCCGGGGGGGGGAGGGTTTCCCTTATTTCCCCGTTGCGTGGAAATGGCTACAATTTTTTTAATGAGATAGGCAAATTCTGTCAATTGCATTTTCAAGCCAACACCTGTGTGTAACTTTTATGTAAGAACAATTTTTTAATACAGCAAATATTTTTTTTCCAGACCTTAGTAGAAGTACTTTTCCAAAATCGTGCTTTTCACACTTTTTTTCAGCGATTTTTTAGAGATAGTAAATGTTTGATTTCTTGACTAGCATTATACATAAAAGTTAGTAAAAATGTTGAAGTTTACGCCACTATTTTTAGTTTTGCAATATTTTGATTAGTTTAGCTGCTAGGTGCATTTCTACGAAATGTGGGACGCTCATCCCGATTTACCCGGCCTGTCCCTTTTTACCTCATTTGACGGTATATAGTACCATTCGATTTGTAAGAAAAATCTCCAGAAACCATCTAATCATTTTTTTCTATTTTGTTATAGTTTGGATTATATATTGGAAAAAGGGGGTCAGGGCAGGGAAAATTTGCAATTTTTGGGGAAAGTTTTGGAAAATCCCCCCTCCCTCCTGAACAAATTTGAAATTAAAAAAAAAATAGCCAAATGGATAGTATTAGATATGGTCATTGAAAATCGAATGATATATCTCTCAATGTCGTAGCATATTTATAGAATGAGGAGATAGATTTCTACAGTACCCCTTTTTTAGCCGTTTTCTATCAATTTCATGTTTTCTTTCATTTTTTATAAGTATTCACTTGAACAAAAAAGTCGATTTCTTTTTTACATATGTGTACCAAGTTTCAAAACAATCCATACGTAAATAAAAAAATTTTTTGACCGAAATGGTCAAAAAATTCCAGCTAAGATTTCCAGTGACATTATAAGCTGTTGAGTTTGTGTCCCCTTAAGCACCAATTAAACCTTTTTCAGGCAAGGGGCTTCAGGGACAAGTTTCCAGTGCTCGTATAAGAATAAATAAGAAAGAAAAGAGGTGCAGACTTGAATTATCAAAGCCACTTCTGATTAACTAACAGTGATTAATGCTATGAAGCAAATGTGCTTCTAGCATATAGAACTTCTAGTGTTAAGTTATCTCAATTGTTGCATACCGTATAGTAAATAAAATTTTTGTAGCTTTCTATAACTTAACAAGCATCTCCTTGTAGACTAACTGTGCATAACAATCTGAGGTACTAACCATACCTCAAATCTTCAATAAATGCACCCACTGGTGCATCCAGCAGCTCAAGTAAGAATCAAGACAGTACAAGAATCAGTACTAGTACAGTACAGTAAGAATCAAGTACAAGAATTGGTGACAGGTCTATCCAGGCCTGTTTTTCAATGCCAAAGATGCTATACTATACTATACTAAGTAGAGGCGCTCTGCGCAGATCAATTGACTAGTGTAATGACCGCAAATGTGAAATGTGCTTTCATTTGTCTTGGTCATGTTACTCATGTATCCTCATTACACTTTTGCTCCTTCAGAATCCTGCCCATAAGAGATCCATCTTGTTTGCTTACTTCCATTAAATATTACCTGTACAAGGCCTATTGGCCTCTGGAGGCTCCAGGCTGAGTCACCCAGGCTGGACCCTTGCCTAGCTGATTGGTCTCGTGTGTGGCAGTGGCACAAGGTAGGGCATCCCCTAGATACTAACTGGGCTACACTAGCATTTACATTTGTATGTTTTCTGTACCACTTTCAGTATAATAGAGTACCTAGCACTTGTTTTATAGTCATTATTATGTGATTTTGAAATATACCGTACCTACTATTCTCTTTATTGCCCTCAGCAAAACATTCCCTGATTGATATTACTTGAAGTTAAATTATACACCACTACTGTGAAAAATTTGATTAGCTATTGTTACAATGCTTGCAGTCCTCTGTGCTGTTGATCTTCTTCATGTGCCAACAGGCCATAGTTGCTGTGGCTACGTCTGCAACAAAACTCTCTACAGTTTTGTAGCTACATCATACATGGACAAGTCTCTAAAGCTCCAAACGACAAACCTCAACAAGTTTGTAAAACAAATTTAATTTCTTTGTGCACTGGGTATTTTGTATGAATGCATTTGTTGAACTGCTTTCTCTCATTTTCTGAATATTTATTGAAAACAATATTTACCAACATTTTATTCAATCTTGAATAAAAAAATGAAACAAGTCTATCAATTCATCATTGGTACCTATCTATGTAGGTTCCAATGAATTACTGTCAATGCCACAAAATTTGCCACTTGGCAGCAATTAGTACCTATAGATTGAAAGAATTTGTTCTTTACAGTTTCATTGTAAACCACAGTAGGTATTTGCTTTAATAAATTTTTTTTTCATTATGGCGGACAAGATTTTTTGCTTACACTGCTAATTTGCAAGTCAGGGTACTGAGTGACATTTCTTAATTTGTTAACAACATTTTGAATGCATCAATTATCCATTATCAAGTTACAAGACACATTGAGTAATGAAATTTTGATCAACATAACTACAATAACAAAATCATCATTATCAGCATTATGATCAGTACTATATAGCTGATGCATGTTGATTGGCACAGATGTACAAGCATTATGATCAATATGACTAATTCTAGTTTGTAATGCATTACCTACACAGGTGTCTGAGTCAAATATATTTCCATTTAAGCTAAGACTGGAGCTTTCTAGCAACGTTTCTTGTCAAGTTCCAAACAGAATTTCAACTTGCATGGCTCATGGATGTAGTACCTATGCAACATCTAGACATTATTATTAATTTGGAAATAAAATATCATTCCTGACAGCTCGCCTAGTTCCAACTCTGCAGGTGAATACATCTGAGAAGGTTTAAGAAGAATGGACTCTGACTCTGATGAAGGAGATGTGTCTGCCTCAGCTCTCCAAGACTCGGGAGAGAAAGGCGGACTGTCATCATGTGGATATTGGTTGGTCAAATTTTCACTCATTTTCATTGAAGTTACCAATGAATCATGGACAATAATTTATTGTAGAATCAAAGCACATGATAGGAATTGTACAAAAAAAGATATCTAGATTATAAATATGTTAGATTGAGACTTGCAGAATTCATTTACATGTTTGTTAAATAATTATAGGTTTCTATTTTGTGTAGGCAATTAAGGTCCTGAATGTTTCTTTAAAATATATTTTACACAGCCTGGCTCTGTGCTAAGTCTTAGTGTTTTTTAGTCTATTTCTGTGCTTACTCTTACAATATTTTCTAATTGCAGTGGCAAGCTGCGCACTCTGGGCAGCACTGAGCTCATGTGCCAGCTGTGCGGCTCCTGGTTCCATGAGTCATGTATCAGCTACCAGCTGGGACAGCTGGTGCCCTTCATGCTCAACTACAGCTTCACCTGCAAGACTTGCTCTCCTTCTGGAGTAGAGCAGTTCAAGAAAGCACAAGCACGTGAGCAAAACTATCTTTCTGTTTATTCCAGAAAAACTATCCTTCCATTTATTCTAGAAAACTATCCTTTCATTTATTCCAAAAAAACTATCCTTCCATTTATTTCAGAAAAACTCCTTCCATTTATTCCAGAAAAACTATCCTTCCGTTTATTCCAGAAAAACTATCCTTCCATTTATTCCAGAAAAACTATCCTTCCGTTTATTCCAGAAAAACTATCCTTCCATTTATTTCCGGATCATTTCCATGCATGGAGTTGTTACTGAGGCGCATGAGCTAGTGTCACTTGTTCTAGCTTAACAAATCTTGCTGTCTTCACTACATGCACAAATTCTCAAGCTAAAATATTTGTGTTGCTTGTTCTTACTTCATGAATTTTCTAGCTTAGTTCATTACAAGTAAAACCTTGCAAACTGCATGTTGATTTTTTTTAGTTCAGATTATCTTGCCTCATAATGCCACTATTGAGTATCTATTGAAAAGAATAGTTTGGCGGAAAAAATGAACTTCTTTTTTTTAGGTTTTATGTAAGTTCACGAATTTGAGATAAAATCTATGTGAGACCAATTTCTGTCCAAACCCACAGTATCCTGTTAGATAGGGTAGTACCGTATATTGAGGGGAGATAGGGTCATGAGGGGAGATAGGGTCAAGAGGGGAGATTATCTCCCCTCATGACCCTATCTCCCCTCCTGACCTTATCTCCCCTTCTGCCCTTATCTCTCCTTCCGCCATATTTCCCTCCAAACCCTGATTTCCTCCTAACTCTTTCCATTAATTTACCCTGCTCAGGATAGTTTAAATAAGACGCTCTTTAATTGGATGTGAGCGTATATGTTATTCATGCTAACTCTTATCTACAAAATTCTTTAGTTCATCAATTAAAATCATATATATTTTTGAAGTTCTGATTCTTCATAATTACCCTCAAGTTATCTCATTATGTATACAAAGGAGTTAAGTTCTTAAGAGGCAAGTTATCTGAGTGATTTAATTAGCTCTGTACATAAGAGCAATGTTGCGCAAATAATCCATTAAATGTTGATTCTAGTTTTCTGAGTAATTTAATTATTGCATTTCTTAAGATTAATATTGAAATTATTCAAAATCTTAACTATGATCTATACGCCAGAGCTGCGCGAGATGTGCGTGACGGCGCTGGCTAACCTGAGCCACGGCAGTAGCAGTAAGGGCAAGAGCAACAAGGACGGCTCAGGCACCAAGCTCTTCAGTCTGCAGAAGGACATCATCCCCTTCCTGGAGCAGAACTGGGAGGCCCTCACCACCCAGGCACGCAGGGCAACCCACTCCTGGCACACCACACTACAGAAGACTCTGCTCAAGGAGGTGGGGGTCTAAGTTCTTACTCAAGGAGGTGGGCGTCTAAGTTCTTACTCAAGGAAATAGGCGTCAAGTTCTTACTCAAGGAGATGGGCGTCTAAATCCTTACTCAATGAGGTTGGCAACTTCTGAACGTTCATCTACAAAAAATTTGATGAAGGAACAGAAGAAATCTTGATTACGTGTGATTTTCTTGCAGAGTATTTACAGTTATTTCAAGTATTAAGTTTACAGTTTTGTTCATGGCATTCTAACTTTGCGTAAGCCTCTCTAACATTGCTTTCATTGGCGTAACTTTAACTATGAATTATCCCTTCTCGATGGCATCTCATCAAGACTAGTTAATTAATAGAAATCTTCTGTACGGTACATTGCTTGTGGGAGAAAAAAAATCAAATCAGAAGTAATTTCTTGAATAGGTTGTTACCAGCCTCGCCTGACCTATCAGTATATATATATTCATGGAAATGTCGGTCTTTGATAATTAAGAAGAATAACCAGTGTTAAATGCTACCTAAGTTGATCTTGCTTATATTTCTTTCTAGTTATTATATTGTTTACTTGATTGTACTGTTAATTGTAGGTTGACACGACGTTCACTGTAGAGGAGACGGGCAAGAACGGTGAGCCTGGTCCGTACCACCCGTTCTTCGGGCTGCAGTGCTCAGACCTGACCCTGCTCCGACCCACGGGGGACACTGCGGGGGACGGTTGTGGCAAGGGGGGGCGGGGGACCAAGAGGAAGCTCGTCGAGACATCCACCAGCAGCAAGAAGGTCTGAGAGTGTGATGATGGTGGTGATGAGCGCGGGGGTGGTGAATGCTTGATGATAATGGTAGGCCTTACCTCCACCAGCAGCAAGGTCTGAGAGTGTGATGATGGTGTTGATAAACGCTGGGGTGGTGAATGCTTGGTGATGATGGTGATGATAGCCGCGGGGCTGGTGAATGCTTGATGATAATGATAGGCCTTACCTCCACCAGCAGCAAGAAGGTCTGAGAGTGTGATGATGGTGATGATGAGCGCGGGGGTGGTGAATGCTTGATGATAATGATAGGCCTTACCTCCATCAGCAGCAAGAAGGTCTGAGAGTGTGATGATGGTGATGATGAGCGCACAATTCAATTCAATTCAATTCAATAATAATAACACACTCAGAGAAATAATTGGGACTATGTTAAAATAGCAGTGCACTTTCTCCCTTTGTGTGGGGCATCCTGACCTAGTTTGGTCCGGTACATGAGCGTATCAGTGCTACGTCCGCTAGCTGCTCGCGCTGTGGTTAGGAAATTGGGTCACTATTTGGAAAACAAGATTAATTCATTTATTTGAGAGATGGCCGGCGAATTTATTACGATAATTATAGCCTGTAAATTATATCCTGATGTTAGAATGCACACTAAAGTCACATTTTGGTATCCAATAACTGCATTTGATCCCCTGTTGTGGTTATATCCTGATGTTAGAATGCATGTCTAGTCACGCTTTGGTCAGCGATAACTGCATTAGATCCTCTGTTGTGGTAAAATATATCATCAGAAAAATTCTTGTAATTTGCTGGCGTTGAGTTTAACGCTCGTGATGGTGGCAGGTGCGAGGTGATATGCCGACACCCAAGCTGCACGGCTACCCCATCGACCATCCCTTCAACAAGGACGGCTACCGCTACATCCTGGCCGAGCCTGACCCCCACGCCCCCTTCAGGAGGGAGTTCGACGACAGCAGCGACTGGGCTGGCAAACCTATCCCGGGTTGGCTGTACAGGTACATGGTCTTGTTATTATTTGCTTAAATATTTGGGTTATTATATATTTACGCGAGGCGAGTGTTAGTGATGAGGTATTGATGGTGGAGAAGTGTGTGAAGAGGGGAATTATTGTCTCATGCCTTGAATGCGCTATAAGTATTAACCATACCTATTATATTACTTACCTGCACTTTGTGTGCATTGTACACAAAGTTTCCCTTCTTCATGTTCTCATAGTTGCTTAATCGCTGGTACGCTTCATGTCTATATTGTAGCGTTCAACCTTCATGTTCACATCATCCTGTTCTCAACCTTTCCGGTCAACCTTCATGTTCACATCATCCTGTTCTCAACCTTTCCATTCAACCTTCATGTTCACATCATCCTGTTCTCAACCTTTCCATTCAACCTTCATGTTGACATTGTAGCTGAGGTTTTAACGCGTTCATTATCTACATGTTACTTGTTTAGACCGTCAATTTATTACTCTTCACTCCTACAGCTCTCTTGTCGTGTACAAAAGTGCCTATACGATCTAGTGATTTTTGCAGTTATTAGTTAATAACTAATCCAGTTATTAGAGAATAAGTGGATTAGTTATTTTTTGCAGTTAATGCTGTGTTCTGCTAATTAATCAGATTTATATATATTAATCATATTTTATGTTAATTCATTATATTTTGTATTAATTATATGTGTTATGTTTGGAGATGCGTGTCGCCAAACTCGGTGTTGCTCGCTCTGCACGACCGCGCCCCTCAGCTGCACACGACCGACGACCGTCGTGCCGTGGTAGGAGAGAAAGGGTACAGCCTGATCAGAGCCACGCACGGGGTGTCACGGGGCACTTGGTACTTCGAGTGTACCATCACAGACCAGCCTGATGGCTCCCACGTGCGTCTAGGCTGGGCGCAACAACTGGCCAACTTGCAGGCTCCTCTTGGGTACGACAAGTTCGGGTACTCGTGGCGGAGCCGTAAGGGCACCGTGTTCCACGAGAGCCACGGTAAACACTACGGTGATGGGTTCTCCAAGGACGATGTGCTGGGGATACTCATCCACATCCCTCCTGAGAGCAACCCTGTGTCCATGCTTCCACCCACCTACAAGGACAAACCGCTGGTCAAGTTCAGGTCGCATTTATATTATGAAGACAAGGACGACATAGCGGCGGCCGTGAAGCAGCTCAAGCCCGTCAAGGGAAGCTACATCAAGTTCTTCAAGAACGGCGAGTCGCCTGGCATGGCTTTTAGTGATATCCACAGCGGCGTTTACTATCCATCTTTATCATTGTACAAATCCATCTCTGTTTCCATTAACTTCGGTCCGAATTTCGTTCATGCCCCAGAAGGGGTGGAGTTTCGTGGCATGCACGAGAAGGCTGAGGAGGCCATGGTGGAGCAGACCTTGGCAGACATGACGTACCTGGTGGAGAATGAGGGCAGGTTGCGGCTAGACATGATGTCTTAGAACCGGTAGACCAGACACCATTTCGGACCCATCGCGGTACGCAGACCTCTGTCTTACTGACGGACATCTCTGTCATGCTTACACATCTGTCTCACACATTTGTGTCAAGCAGACGGGATGCTGCCGTCTTTTAGAAATAGACAGATCTCAGCTGCCTGTCTGTGCGTCTAGACCAATGAACTCTGTCAACATTTTGTCGTAAATAAAAATTACTGCTACAGCCTGCGCCATTGCTTGTCAGTCTTACACGGAACCAGCAACTGAAGTTTAGACTGTCGTGTGAAATATAGTCCTTGCATCCTATACCACAGTCCTCACATCCTATACCACAGTCCTCGCATCCTATACCACAGTCCTCACATCCTATACCACAGTCCCCACATCCTATACCACAGTCCTCGCATCCTATACCACAGTCCCCACATCCTATACCACAGTCCTCACATCCTATGCCATAGGATGTGAGTCTACAGCGTAGACCCTACCTCGCTGGTCTGTAGCGTAGACCCTACCGTGTAGACTGAGGCAATAGGCGCGAGGCTGTCTAGCATCTTTACTAGCCCCTGTATTGGTCTTACGTTATCAGACCCAGGGTCTGGGAGGGCGGGTCTGGCTACTCGAACTGGCCCGTGTTAGGGGCACCGTTACTAGCACAGCGGCAGCGATATATATTCCAAATTACATTTTGTTACAATTTTTTTTCTTGAAACCGCTATTATCCAATAAACTTATTCGCTAAAGTAGTAGAATTTTTTTTTGTTTATTCATTGTTTTTTTTTTGTAGTGCTAAGTTTTTATTATTAAGTTTTCCTTATATTGTTCGTCCGTGTAGCGCATGTTCGGCACCACGAGCATTTAATTTCAAGTGTTCGGCTTATCAAAATGTTCTCAATTTTATTTGCCTCTGTTCCACAATTAGGGAATTTCTTCATCGTAATTGATTTTTGCATAAGTTTTTCCTTTGTTAACTTTCCATTGGTCTATTGAAAATCAATTCTCCGGTGGTTGCAATGCTATTCCTACCTGCTAGCCAGGTCGATGGAGAAGGGTTGACCCAAATAAACTAGTTTTCGTAGGAATACCATTGGTGGCATTCTTACTTCATTGTGTTCCACTGGGCAATGCTTTGTTCCTTCTTTCCCATGCACCACATGCGTATTGATTATTTTATTTTGTTTAATTTTTTGTTAATGTGTTGATTGAATGAAAATGTCCTGTATTCATTTTGCTTTCTTCAGACTCCGTTAAATTAACATTGAGTTCTTACAACATTTCTGTCTTCATTGGCAACACATTTTTTTTTAAGTTCATTATCTTAGAAATTATTTTAATTATCTTTCACTTTTTTTAGAAATTTAGACATTTATTTCTGGAACTTTAGTTTTTTTGATTGGAAAGAAAACAAAAATTCTTCTTATTTTTTTTAAGAGTTTGTCAGTAGCGATTAATTCTCACAAAATTTCGCTTCTGCAAGAATCTTTGTATTCTTAATGAAGCGACGTGACTGTTCATTTACCAACTGATAGGAGGTCTGTTATTTATCCTTGGTTGTGATGGTAGCGCTGCGTGTGTTGTGGTAGCTGTGCCCTGGCACGGGTTGTTCTTGGACGTTGTTGTTCTATGCTATGCGCGTGTCGTCGTCTAATTATAAGCACATACTCTGAACAGACTAGTGGTATTATGTATAAGATGTCGTGTCTTCATTTTTGACAATAAATACATACTCAAACCATGACCTCGTAGTGTTTTCTTATTACGATTATCGAATCCTAACTTATAATACAGTCAAATGCTTGTGAACGTTCGAAACGATTTGAGATCAGAACCATCTTCAAACTTACGAAAAACTAATGATTTACGAAGATGAATACACGTATTCTAGTTAAGGTCAGCATCACATAAGTAACGACCTCTGTTCTACCTTAATGAGACGCCGCACTGAGCCCCCTTAGTAATAATATAATATACTTGCTATAATATACTTAATGAAGAGGGATATGGATTGCTTGATACGGCGAAAAAACTAGCGTATAATTCATGTGACCAGACCCAGGAAAGGTTATGTCTGAACACTGCACTTCTTTGTTGAATAGTGGTGGGTCAGGTGTCATTGATCTGTCACTGGATCTTTACTGTGCACTCGGTGACCATTAACATTATTAGTCATTACTTATGAATGACTAATTTACATGAAATATTGCTTACACATGTTTGCGATAGTTCCTCTCCCCACGCTGATAGTTTTCTATGCAATATTTCTTCAGCAGTAACTTATAATGACGCTATAATAATAATAGCGGTTTCAGCGTTTATTAGGCCTTAGGCCTGTCGCCGATTTTTACCATCGCAGAACATTCACAGCACTTCGCGGTCTCGAACTCGCAACTCACTGCTACAATTCTGCTGTGCTTGACCGCCCGGCCTCCTTGCCGATTCTGACCAGAAAATGACGAACAGAGCTGGGATCGAACCTGCGCCAGTCTTGGTACTCTGAACTTTAACCACTGGGCCATATCAGAATCGACTTCTTAATAGCAGCAACTAAGGATTTAAGCCATGAATATATTCTTTATCTGTGAATCAAATGATGATATTAGTGCATTTATAAGATTAAAGTATCAATTTCATCCATAGAAGTACTTAAGCTTCATTTATGCAAGGGATTAATATGTCAATGTCAAAAATCACTGAAAATAGAGCGCCCAAACCATGGTTGAACTAATATAAGGTTGACCCACGGCGATGACGATTTTTCGCCGTTCTGTGCATCTCTAGAGTGACGTCACTGTGGGCACAAAATGTAAATAGTGTAGATCAACACATTGCTTTTATGTCATCTTTGAAACAATTTTTAAAAATTACCTCATCAAAATGGCCTAAAAAATTATTTACTGCATGCAACGAGTCTTATTTTTTAGCAAAACCGGTATAAAACATCACAATAACCAAGGTGACGTCACAGTTGGAATAACAAATGACTTCCGCAAGGCGCAGCTGCACTAGGGAAAACCTTGCATTAGTTCAACCGTGAAAAACAAATGACCTCGTTGAAATGGCCCCCAAAAAAATATTTTCTGCAAGCAACTAGTCTTATTTTAAGCAAAACAAGTGTTACAAAGCAGTTTGAATCACACTGTGACGTCACAACGACAATGGCAACATCACGGGTGGAATAACAAATGACATCCGCAAGGCGAAGCTGCGCGTGGGTCAACCTTGTATTAGACCATGGCCCAAACACCTTCTAGGCTCTAGGGCATCATAATAATAATAGCGGTTTCAGCGTTCAATAGGCAGTTGGCTTGTCGCTGATTCTTAACATCGCAGAACGTTTACAAGTTGTTGCGGTCTCGAACACGCAACTCACTACTCCAATTTTGTTTTGTCACTAGAAATTGCATTAACATTTTGCGCTTTAACAACATTTTTTAAATCACGCAAACAAAATTTTTCATATAATTTCTAGTGATGACAGTCTTTAAGTAGTGTATAGATGAGTATGGAAAATTGAAAATTATATATTAAAAAAATTGTAAGGTGACATTTCAGTCCACTTGGTCTTACGAGACTTCACCGTTAAAAGCGATCATATGATCCAATTAGTCTTTTGAGCGCAAATTATGGACGATATCGTAAAACTGGCGTAGTTAATTATAATTTTTTCATTACTTTTGCTAGAAACAATAAGAAGTCGGAGAAACTTGCTAGAAACTTCAGTATTTTAGCCAAAATGCCTTATTCGAAATTAAATTTTGCAAATAAATTTCGTGATTTTTCAAAATCTTTGAAGTTGGAAAAACATCAATGATGTTGGGCCAAAGACGCCAGGGCCAAGATTGTGAGGCCAATGTCCGGGCAGAGAGGCTAGGGTTCAGGTTGAGAGGCCAGGGTGCAGGATGAGAGGCCCGAGTCCAGGTTTAGAGGTCAGGGTCCAAGCTGAGAAGCCCGAGTCCAGGTTCAGAGGTCAGGGTCCAAGCTGAGAGGCCCGAGTCCAGTTCGAGAGGCCAGGGTCCAGTTCGAGAGGCCAGGGTCCAGGTTGAGAGGCCGCGATCCAGTTTGAGAAGCCAGGGTCCAGACAAAGAGGCCAGGGTCCAGGTTGAGAGGCCAGGGTCCAGGTTAAGAGGCCAGGGTCCAGGTTGAGAGGCCAGGGTCCAGGTTGAGAGGCCAGGGTCCAGACTGAGAGGCCAGGGTCCAGGTTGAGAGGCCAGAGTCCAGGTTGAGAGGCCAGGGTCCAGGTTGAGAGGCCAGATATTTAGGTACCAATATATTAACAGCAATCCTTATAATTATTTAGGTACCAATATATTAACAGCAATCCTTATGATCATTGGTTACTAACAATTTGTTCCAGATCAAATTTGCAGAAAAATATCGGAAACTTGTTTTGGTTGGTCAAATTTAAGCACAATACCTAGTCATTGATTCAAAAAATTTGTTAATTATACACGTTAGTCCGATCATTTATACACGCTATATTTAATACAAAACACCATATATATTAGATACATGACATATATATAAACTCTATATATCATATTATATAAACGCTAGTCTGATAATTTTTACGCAGCGCTCGCGGCTGCATTCCTCTCTGAACCGTTGCGTTAGTATCGAAATTCGAAGTCAAATAACACATTATAAAATATCTCATATTAGGGGATAGATTTTAACGCCGATGCGAAATGTTAAAGTGAAAGCCGTGCTCGAGTTATTTGCTTGGCATATTTGACAGTCGACTGGTGAAAATAACGGCTATAACAAAGCATCTTAAGATGGGCCCTGGCACAATTTTTTACTGGTCACTGCATTCCATTAAACCGTTATTAAAAGAGAATCAACAATAATATCATTTGGAGAGACCCAGCTGAGACCGCGCATTGGCTGCAGCCTAGGCTGGGTCACAGATGCCAGTAAGTTGGGCCAGCTCTGCTATATGTAAGAAATGTTCTGTGAGGAGTTTGGGAGGGCGTCGTGAGCCTCAACTTGAGCTTCCATCTTGCACGGCACGCAAGAGGAGAGTGCAGGTGCAGGGCTGAGATGTGCAGTTGAACAAACCTGGGCAGATATGAATGACAATGTTGGTGTGACTGGCGGTGATGTGTGCATTTTACAAGATACTGGTCACTGCATTCCATTAAACCGTTGTTAAAATAGAATCAACAATAACATCGTTTGGAGAGACCCAGCTGTCCACAGTCATATCTTCTAGTCATATATATTTACAGTATATGAGTCTTGCGACTTTCTAGAGAAAAGTGTGATGTGTGCATTTTATGAGGAATGATATAATATAGGAATTCTCACAGAATTCTCTGCAAGTTTTTAATTTCACAGCAATATGAATGTGCTGGCATCACAAATCTCTGGTTATAAAATGTCTTCCCATATCAATGCTTCATACTGCAAATATTTTATTGGCTTTTTCAAATTCCTATAGATACATAGACATATGGGTCAATTTCAGGAAGAAAGGCACACTTTTAGCATGTTTTTGTTCAATAAAATTGGCATCATAAATGTATTAGTCATTTCTTCATTTGTAATGTATTTACGTTGCATCACTTGGGTTAAGAATGTTTCAATTGACAGGAATGTTCTCAGTACTATTCTTTGCAATTCTCTGTTCTATTCTTATTTATTCATTGACCAAACAAGGAAGTAGCATTAGAACAAGTAAATTTGGAAATTTTTCAGGATTCCTGACAATTGGGGCCATCACCTTTCAATTTGATTTCACTATAAACAAATATGGGGGAAAAAGGTGGATGTGGATTTAGAATAGCAAACCTAATGCAAGTAATTATGAGTTAAATTTCCGCAACTTCTAACCAATTATTGAATGAAGATGTGGCTGCTTTGTACCTACAATAATTACTGCTCAACATTTCAGACGTAATACTGGGTTAAGATTTGTCTCCTCATGCCTAACTTGAAGACTTGAGCATGGAAATAGCATTCTGCAAGAACTTTAAATGCTCTGCTAAACATTTATTTGCATATCAACACCACCTACCTCATTTTCATTTACGAATGGTTCCCCTTTGATATATACTTCTTCAGTTTCATCATCAGGCTCCTCCTTGATGTAGATGGCAGGAACTTCAAGGGCTGGTGGAGGGTCAACCTTTCCAAAGGCTGTAAAATATATAGGTAGGCATATTGATATACTGGTAGTAATTGGTTGATGAGCAAGATATCTCATGGTAAATGTAATGCTCATCAAATTAATGAGTCATTTCAGCCTTAGAAAAAAGCTGATATCACTCAGATGAGTGAGACTCATGAGGTAACAAATTAACATACCTACATAGTTATCAAATCTTGTATTGAAACTCCAAGGAAATCAATATAGATGAAAATTTAATAAAATAAATACCACACAACCTCAGTACCTTCTTTGAAGGTACTGAGATGTTTTACCTTTACCTGTTCCTTTGAAACGAAATCCTGCTGAGCGTAGAGCATAAGCAGTGCGACGGCGTTGCAATTCTGCTTGATACGCTTCTTCATCTAAACGAGCGTTGGCATGCCTTTCACGATCATATAGCAAAGGATGTATAATTTAAGGAGCTGTGATTGAAATGATTAATTAGTAATCAAGCATTGCAGGGTAAAGTAACGGCAAGGGACAAAGCAAGCAGGGGATATAGTCATAATTAAATGGAATCAAACCAAATTTAGTAAAACCAAAGAACCAAAAGGGTTTGCAAGGTGAACACAGTTGAGAATGCAATGGCAGACTATTAAGTATAGTTGACTATTTGTTTAAAATAGGAAATAATTAGGAATCATGATAAAATGCAGTAGTTAATGTAATGAATCAAAGAATCATTATCAATCAAGAACCAATGCCTTATTTACAAAAACACAAGTTAATTAAAATAGAGACAAAACATATATATATACAAGGGTGAACATTCACTAACCAGCATGGCTAAGCACGAGTGGTCAGGACTGTCAGACCGCTCTGTTACACAGCTGAGTTTCATTCATTGGGCTCAGCTTATAGTTAATGAATATCTGTAACAGAGACTGAAACAGAAGAGGACAAAGACATTGAGGTGAGGTAAAAGCAAGGCCGGAGGCAAATAACAAGGATAAATAAGCAGATAGGCTGTGCTACACAAGCCACAAAAGCCTCCCAGCAACAGCGCTATCTGTAGTTCCAAATCACTGAGGTTGAAGTTTTTGATCTATAATGTTAGCAGCAATGTTAATAACACTGCAGGGATACAGGAAATCATAAAGTGCAATGGAGGTTCATAAGTAGACTTTAATTTAACATATGCAACAAAATTCACATGTCAAAAGTTACTTAAGCACATAATATTATTGCTTTATGCATGCATCAGCAATATTTGATGCAAACAACTCAACTACATTTGAATATGACATATTTCATAGAAACAGAAACCATCTTGAAATAGACATTAAATTCCACAGCATAGAAATCAAAGCCACGATTTTCAAAGAGCATTTTTGGTCCAGTAAAGTGCAAAGAATATTTTTTAATGCACATAGCAATGTAAACATTGCTAAATTAAGATGCTATATTGAAGGTGTTGAAATAACTAAGCTCTATTTATTCTTCATCACATTAGTAATTATGACCTAATAAACTAATCATCAAGCAACATTCATTGGTCATTTTGGAATAGATCTATTCACTTAAATAATTGACAATTATACATTAATGTGTTCAATGGTGATAAAAATCATACTTATTTATACTTGCATACATTCTTGAACATGCTAAGTCCATGTCAGAACTGAGTCAAGACTACTTTTACAGCAAAGTAGCATAAAAACAATGGAGGTTATATCAAGTCATAGTGATTAATTGTGATTTTTGATTTCTTCACTATTGTAACAGTAAATTATTTGACCTTGAACTTTTGCTTTGATTTCCTAATTTCTTTTCAGCTCGGCTGTATTTAAAGGGGCTGGCCTTTTTAATTCTTCTTGGTGGCACAAAACAGATGGTGTGTATTGAGGCAGCATGATTCGTGTATTGAATTATTGCACAACTAAACAATAATATTTTTCTATAATATGGCAGAAAGTTGATTTGACATAAGCATAGAGATAATTATTTTTTTGCATTACACAACAGGCCATGGCTGTTGTTGTCATTGCCCATCCTGGTAGTGGCAACTAGGTGAGGGTGGGATGATCCCGTCACACGGGGTACTAAGGGATGGGCGGGGTAATAAGGGACATTCCTCTGACATTTTGTAGAAATGTTGTAGCAGCTAAACTAATTTATATATTGCATAACTAAAAATAGAGGCTTAAAGTTTAACATTTTTCCTATCTATGCAGCATAAAGCAAGTTAATAAATCATAAATTTACTACCTCTAAAATTCCCTGAAAGAAAGCATGAAGATTGAGATTTTGTAAAAGTAAGTCTGCTAAGGCCTGTAGCAAAGAAAATATTTGCTGTATTATAAACTTTTACTTGCATAAAAGTAGCAGACAGGTGTTGGCTTAAAAACATGATTTTGGAATTTTCATAGCTCATTCCCCAAAACAATGGCGGCCATTTCCGCATGACAGAGTAATAAGGACACTCCTAAAAACACATTTGGTTAGCAAAGGCTCCAGTTAACAAAAAAAAAAAACAATTAACAACAAAGAATTTCTATTAAATTTACCTTATTCATCAGCCATCACAAAATTGAGCTTGAAATGTCATAGGTAGAATTGTGCACTGGGCAACATAGAGTGAAAAGTAGTCCACCTAAACTATGATTTATTTCTTCAAAAAATATGATGGTTGTCACTTAAGTATTCTTTTTTGTTTCAGGTATGTTTTTACAATCTTTTTTATTATAGTGAATTTACTAGAACCAATTAAAATGGTGTAAATTACAAGCCGTCCTGTAAGCTTACAGATACAGAAGAAATGCTGTTTGGCTGCTGATTCAAAGCTTGCAGTGGACAATGTCGTAGTTAATGCTCAATGGCATGTTCATTGAAATGGTAATATAACATCAATAATACGTAATGTGTGGATATGGTAGTATCATATCAGTAATGGAAAAACAAGTAAAATCACAGAAAATATTGTTTATTCAACATCTACATCATCTACAAAGGAAGAGGACTTCAGAGTATTTTTAGTAATGGATGAGTGCACTCTTCATGTTTCAAACGTTTTAAAATTAAGTTCTATTTTGAGTGTCCCAGATTACCCTGTTCCCAGGGTTAATTCAGGATGCTTTTATTTAAATTCAGGATGCTTTACTGTTTGTATTTTTTTACGCTATTTGTAAGGTGTCTGGCACCTTACAAATAGCATATAGAATTTTTTTAAGATGCCATACAATAGCCCTCGTAACGAGCATTAAAATGAGCTCAAACTTGTTTATGAAATGTTCCATGGTAAGAAGTTATTAACAAAAAATGTTCAAAACCGCCCCTTATTACCCCGTTTGATGGTACTACCAAAACTAGTATTATTATTTATGATTATTATCAATTTATCATCATTTATTTATTATTTGTTTATTATTTATTTATTATTAATTAATAATATTATTAACAGTATACCGGTATATTAAAATGTGAACCATAATTACATATCCTAGACCAGTAGGTGCTAAAGCAGCCCCTGACACAACTCAAGTCTCAACCACTTTAACTTTGTCCAAGTCATAGGTCAAGATCACCAAGATTGGAGTCAGAAGCATCAATGATCATGAAGTCTTTACCATGAAATTAAGTAGGCATTGCTACTCATTCAGCCAAAATTAATGTTATTGTTAGCAGTAAAGTTTTACTATGCAAGAGGTTTATTTTTTATATTTTAGCTAATTTTATATTGTAACACCTTCATTCATCTATCTTTAATACTTTAAGGGGGGGTGCGTCTACCCTCCAGAAAAACTTCCACATTTACCAACGGATCTTTTTAAAACTTCACACATATATGTAAAACCGAAATACAAGCAGATTTTGTTTGTATGATTTTTTCAGAAAAATTAATAGAAAACGTGAACTTCATAGAAAATGGACAAAAAAGGGGGTACTTAAAAAATCTATCTTGTCCTACAGTTTTCAAGCTACAGCATTGAAAGATATAGCATTCGATTTCTAAAGACCATACCAACCAAGCAACGAAGTCTGATTTTTTATTTCTGCCTTAATTTTTTTACACACATTTTCCCTTTTCTTCTCATTTTCTTCAGATTTTTCCCCCTCCCCCCATTTGAATCCAAACTGTGCACAAATCTAAAAAAGGGCTTCGTTACTCGATAGGTATGGTCTTTACAAATCGAATGGTATATTTTAAATAAATGTCACTCAAAAACTGAATACTGCAATGCTCAGAGCGATCAGTCTTCAAGTGACATTTATATCTGAATTATATTTTATTTAGCAAGTATTTCTTGCATGAGAAATTATCTGAGATACTTTTAAGTTTCTCAATGTTGACAGCATAGAAAGCCATGCAAAAACATAAAATTTAATATTTTTAAGGCTGAATTAGGCAACTAAGGACTTAAAACCATACTTCATTCTGGTCTGTTATTTTCAAAATACTCAACCAAGCTTCCACAGCTGCTAGCACAGCTTGCTGCCAATGCTGCCCTACCCATTTTTGACCAAGGTGATCTGTTTTGATGTATTGTTTATTGTGTACAAAAGTAACTTGAATTATTGTTTCTTTGTTGTTTTTTTTTTTATTTGTTCTACATGTTCATGCTACAAATCTATCATAAAAGTTGTATCCTCATATTTTCAGGCTTTGTTACTAGTGAAATTCATCATCTGAAATTATAACTTTCAAGTAAAACATTAAAACTCATCACATGAATTTTCCATCACTATTTCATATTAACTAGGTCTTTGGTAAGAAGTTCTCTATGAACTACAGCCATATGAAAAAATGAAAAAATAATATGAAAATTAATATGATATAAAAACTAAAAGTAGAATGAAAATCAAGATGGAATTCTAAAAATTAAGGTTCATATATTATTTTTGATCCACCTCCACCACTTTTTTCATCCAAAAATTTTAGTTAAGATAGAAAGGATATTAATAGGAGGGATTAAAGTTCACTTGAAAGAATCAAGAATGAAGGTTGCAACACAAAGATTTCAATTAGATTAAATATTAATTTATTAGCAATTCATCTCCATACAAACACAACAAATTAACATTTATGAAATTGAATTAATAACAAATCATGCCACAAATAAGAATTGAAATTGCACCACAAATTGCACCACAAAAGCTATTTTGTGGGAGCAAAAAATCTCATACACATTCACAAAGTGAAAGCAAAGGAGCAACTACCTTTTTTTATTATGGTTGGCAATGATGTATGGCATTTCCAACCAAAATATTATGGTATGTAAGTGATGTAGTATTATGGTACAGTTACCATAAGTACTATTACAGTAGTTTCACAAGTGTATTCAAGAACAGATTCTGAAATAGAAGCAACATTTCCATTTTTGTATATAAACAGGATTGATAAAACACCTATCAAATCTACGGTATTTATTGTCATTCAATTTGGG